TGTGTGTGTGTGTGTGTGTGTGAATGCTTTTTGATAACTACCCGAGGTTTGCCCGGTATGATGCGTGGGAATAATTTTCAAAAGATTCCCAGGATGTGTTTTGGAAAAAAAGATTCCCAGGATGTGTTTTGGGAAAAAAAGATTCCCATGATGTAATGGTATGACGTAGTTGTTGTTGTTGTGTTTTTGAGTGACAGTAGCAAGTGGGGGGCCCCCGTTCTGCTAAGCGTGACTAATAATTGAATTTTTCTCCTCACAATACTATAAAAACTGGCCGTAAAAGAGACAGATTGGTGCGGAGAGTGACTTTTCTGCAAAACCATCGTCATGGATTCTCCAGACAGATCGTCTAAGGCTCAAGCCGGATCTCCGATCTTGAATTCCTTGAGCAAATGGCGCTATCGCACATTCATTCGGGACAACTTACAAAAGCGTGGAATACCTTATTTCGTGTGGCCAAACAGCCTAAAACGACTGAAACTGAAGGAGCAACCCCTGAGGACCAGTCAAATTTTGAGCGCGAGGAAGGCCTTCGTTCGCAATGACATACCTAAACACTGCTGGCCCCGTTCGATTCGGGAAGAAAACGATGTTACACCTTCGCAGAAGAAAAAGCAGGAAATCGACAGATTCAGAGCGGACGACAGTCTGTTTAAACCGAGCATAAAGAGGAGATGTCTTTCGATGACGTATTTGACAATTTTGCCGAAAGAAACCCGGCTGAACAATCGCTACATCGTTTTCCGTCAGAGCAGACTGTTTCACAGTGACAAGCCGACTGAAGTCTCCATTTCTGAAAAGGAGTTGTACCTGTTAAACCAGACCGTCCCGAAAACGAATGAAGTGGGGGAATTGCATGCTATGATCTTACAGGCCAGAAACAGGTCATGCATGGTTCGCGACACAAAACACAAGACCGAACTGTCCAGGTCAGCCACAATCACACTGAAGGTCAGATCCGCGCATTATTTGCGTCAAATCACCCTGACCATCACAGGGCTCAAGACCCCTGAGTTTACCTACAGAGTTCGACTGGAAGTGTGCACGTCACCTGTGATAAGGCACGAAAACGTGTGCTCCAGCGATGACGACCAGTGGATTTTTTATTTTGCCCCTACTGAAAAAGAAGAGCACGTCCAGCTGATTGAAATAACTTTGCGGGAGAGCGAACTACTGGATATTTATCACGCGGTCAAACATGTTCTGACAGGTAAGAAAAACGCTTTTTTTCTTAAAAATTCATTTTGACCGTTTGAGGTACCGTAGTTTGTGAATATAAGCCGTGAAAAGGGTTATACCGTTTCAAGTTGCAGCGTGTGGCCGAAGAGTAAGCATGTACGAGCCCGTTAAACCTTTTAACGATTTTCTCTCTCTATCACCAGCCAGCGTAATATGCGGTTGCGACAGCTGTCATATTCCACGCCCGACGAGTCTGATGTCTAAATACCAAGATGACAAAACAGCGATGCGCATGTGCGAGGACATGCCCAGCGGGAGAGATTGGGGGTGTTCCCCCACTCACCAGCCAGAGCACGATGAAGAGAGTTCTGATCTAGACCTCGTGGAACGTAAAAAAAGCGGTGAAAATGACATTTCAGATTCGACCAGCGCCAGCGAGGTAGAAGAAGAGGAAGAGGAAGTCTCCGGCGTGACCGATCTGGACAGCGATGAATTTATCGTGGTGGACGAGGACGGCTTACAAAGCCGACCTTCTTCGCCGGCTGACATCGAGCAGCGTGAGAGAGAGAACGCGAGCGCTTTCTCAGGAACGGGGTCAAAAGGTCAATGCGAGGAACCTCTTGACGCCGGCGCCAGCTCGGAAAGTCAGAGCGAGAAGCCTTCGGACCTCAGTCTGAAGGGCCGAGCCACGAAAATTGTGGAATTTATCTGGGCAAGAGCGATCATCCTGGCTGTTCGTCAATGGGTTACGAGAGATTGCGCTGGGTGTCAAATTGAACACCCATCACAGAGACAGCACAGTTGCGTGGAAGGCGTCCCCGTAAGATTTCTGGACAACGAGTTAAAGCAGAAGTGGCTGAATCTCATTCCCGCTTGTGAATTGGAAATAAAAGAGTCTCTAAAGCAACACTTTGAATTAAAAGAACCTCATGATGGTTTTGTAATAAACATTTTGCGTAGAATTTACACGCTGACGCAGGAAAAATTGAGTGAATATAACCCGCTGTCCGAGTACCTGAGCAGAGATCCGTCCGAAATTCTGAGCCGGTTTTACATGCGGCCGGATGAACCTCTGAACAGCGCTGCGGAATCAACGGCCGCCGACGTGTGTAAAATTCTGATGGGGTCTGAGGATGACAGATCGGTGTAGTGATTCGCGAGAGAGAGAGAGATTGTGTATTTGTACATAAGACATTTATGACACCGATGTTTTTTTGCTGCTAGTAAGTTTATACATTGTATATATTTTTTTTATTAGACAAACCATAAACATTATTATTATTAGAAAAAACTGGGACCTTTTTGTTTTATTAAAAAACACCACATGTTTTTCGTTTAATATTTTAGTCGTTTGAGTTTGTGTAATTGTTTATAGCACCTTTATGACATCTTTTGATCGCTGCTAGTAGTTTACATATTTTTTGAACCCCTTTTGTGCATGTTTATTAGACAAACTGTATAGTCTTTTCATTTTAATATTTTAAACCATGTAATCATTTTCATTTAATATTTTAATCATGTAATCATTTTAATTTTTTAATATTTTAAATCATGTAACCATTTTTCATTTTCATATATTTAATAGTGTAACATTTTCATTTTAATATTTTTAACAGTGTAATCATTTTAATATTTTTTTAATATTTTAAATCATGTAACCATTTTTCTTTTCATATTTTAAGTGTAATCATTTTAATATTTTTTTAATATTTTAAATCATGTAACCATTTTTCTTTTCATATTTTAAGTGTAATCATTTTTCATTTTCATATATTTAATAGTGTAATCATTTTTAGTTTCATATTTTATACTTCAGTGTTCATCACATTTAGTTTGAAACTAATTTACCTATATCTCAAACTAACGGTTTGTCAGTAGATTAGATACTAACAACCAAAAAAAATATAAAAGAAATAAACAGTTTTTAACAAAAAAATAAAAAAACACATAAAAACCTTTAAACACCATAAAAACCTTTTGAAGTCGTTTTCTGTCATCAGTTTGTTTTCTCCACATTTTATTTTAGACCGTGTTTTACCCAGAAGAAAATATAAAAACCCTAACGTGTTTCACACCTCGACCATTTGGACATGTCTCAGACGGCGCTGCAAGAGTTGTACCATAAACCCGGGTCGGAAGGCGGTCTGTGTGGTAGGGAGCCCTTTATCAAAAGCGTAAGGGAGGTGGGGTTGGCTAATAAAAATAAAGATGAAATTGATAGGTTTTTACAAAGTTCAGACACTTACACGCTACACAAACCCCGAAGAATAAACTTTAAAAGGAGTTTCGTACTAGCGTGCGAAAAAGATTCACAATGGCAGTTAGACTTGGCAGATTTATCCTCTCTATCGGAACACAACGATGGGAAAAAGTTTATTTTAACCTGCATAGATGTGTTTTCAAAATACGCGTGGGTGGAGGCGTTGGAAAATAAGAACGCCAAGAGCGTAACGAAGGCCTTTGAACAAATACTTTTACGAGGTAGAAAACCCGTCACCCTTCAAAGTGACAAGGGGCGAGAATTTTGTAATCAATCATTCATGAAACTTTTAAACAAATATAAAATAAGACATTTTACTACGGCTAGCGAATTGAAAGCCTCTGTGGTGGAGCGATTTAACAAAACCCTCAAAACGCGGATGTTCAGATATTTTACAGGTTTTAACACCTTGAGATATTTAGATGTGCTTCAGGAACTAGTGAGCGCTTACAATCGCGCTTTTCACAGATCTATTCAAATGCGTCCCGAAGAAGTGAACGAGTGCAATCAGATACAGGTGTTTCATCATCTGTACGGGAAAAGAATGAGAGGGGAATTACCCCGACCCAAGTTTAAAATAGGTGACGCGGTTCGGATTTCGAAAGAGCGCAGGGTCTTCGCGAAAGGTTACGAACAGTCTTTCACGGATGAATATTTTTTTGTGGATAAAATTATTAAACGAGACCCGCCGATGTATAAACTAAAAGACCTCGATAATGAAATAATAGAAGGTTCTTTTTATGAAGAAGAAATGCAGAAAATTATTGTACCTGAAAATAAAGTCTATCGTGTAGAAAAAATACTGGCTAGGAAAAAAACTAAATCCGAGGTTCTCGTTAAGGTGAGATGGAAAGGTTGGGATAAAAAATTTGACTCCTGGGTAAACGAAAATTCTATCCAGGACGCTCGATAAAAACCCCGTGAGAGAGCGGCGCGAGCCCCTATTCGGAAGCGCGGACCACCCCACCATGGAAGAAACCAGAGATTTTTTCATCACTCTGCCGAGTAACGCTAGCGACAAATTATACCCTCAAAACGATATATCCAGCTACAGGGTGAAGTTAGCCAAAACCGTTCACCTCAGGGGCGGTTGGGAGGTCGGCTTAGCAGAAATTTCATTTCCCCAGAGTTGGTACACGCTGGCGGACGGCGGGCGACAGGAAACGGACTTTTGGGTGTGCGAAGGGCCGGATCTCAGTAAACAGGTGGCTTTTAAAGTAAAATGCGGTTATTATACTTACATCGCTGACATTTTGACCGAAATGAACAAATATTTTAGAACCACCAAAACCCACGTCGAATTATATTTGGATAAGGTCACGAGACGGGTAAAATTAGGGGTCACACCGGAGGAGATTATACGACTGACCTCGCTGAACAGATGGCCTATTCGGATTCGAACGCACGGACAGTTGGCGCACATTCTGGGCTTCGAGGAACAGAAGTGGACTGACCCGACCGAAACTAAATTCCCTGCCCATATTAAAGGCGGAACGTTTTATTTGTTTCTTTATTCAGATATTTCTTCACATCAGATCGTGGCCGATACCTTAGCACCTCTTTTGCGAACCGTTCAAATACCCAAAGCGCATCTGGATTTCGTCACGCTAAACTTTGACAAGGTGCACTACAACCCGGTCAGCAAACACGTGTTTGATGAAATTTTAATAGAGTTGAAGACGGATCAAAACCGAAACGTCAAATTCGAATTTGGAAAAGTGATCGTGAAGCTACATTTTAGACCGATCCGATAAAAAATGTCTGCTTATCACGCCGACCCTAGCCCCTACGTCCTCTATTATACGCGACAGGCGGGGTCCGGTTTAGAAGGTTTCAGCGGAGCGCCCGTGCAGTACGGAAGAGGGATCGGCAACGTTTTTCGGGGTTTGTTTAGACTGGCGGTGCCTCTGCTAAAATCGGGCTTCAACTTAGTCAGACCACACCTCAAGACCGCTGCTAAAAATATCGCGAAAGACGTGGTTTCCGCAGCGGCGGGGAAATTACTGGGAAACGCGTCGGAAAGGCGGCAGGAGGGGGAAGGCCTGGTGGTTTTGAGCCGCGCGAATCGACGCATGCGCCCACCGGGGCGTCGCGGTTCCGTACCTTTTAAAAATAAAAGCGTTTTTTCAAAAGGTCTCAGTCTGAACAGGAAGCTGGCGGGTGCGCTCGTCCGCGCCTCTCGTTTAAGGAATAGGAAGAAAAAAAAGAGCGAGCGGAAAACCGGTGCGGGTCCCGACATATTTTAAAAGATGTCTCTCATACACAGCGCCTCGGCGGAATGCATGAAGTCCGAGCTGGACCTATTTACGATCCCTATGACGCAACACAGTATAGAATCCTACAAATACGTAGAAACGCCTCCCATCACGGCCATTACCGAAAACGGCCCCCTGGAATTTTTTATAGCGGGGTCGGGGGACACCTACGTCGATCTGAACCGTTCGCTTTTGTACCTCACGTGCAAAGTTACCAACGCGGACGGAACCGATCTGGCGGCCGGTGCGACCGTAGGTTTGATCAATTACCCCGCGGCCACTCTTTTTAGCCAAGTCGACCTGTCCCTCGGCGATAAGCTCATTTCTCAAAGCGGTTCCACGTACACCTACAGGGCCGTTCTGGAGTGTTTGCTTAACTATTCCGAACCTACTCTGAATTCGCAATTCGCAGCGGGGCTGTTTCGCAAAGACACGGCGGGGCGCATGGACGAAGCTGACCCGAACAGAGACAATGAGGGGTTAACGTGGCGAAGCGCTTATTGCGAAAGGAGCCGAACGTTCGAATTAATGGGACATTTGCATAACGACTTTGCATTTCAGGAAAAGCTTCTTTTAAATTCCGTCGACGTGAGAATCAAGTTAGTTCGTAATAAAAACGAGTTTGTTTTAATGTCGTCGGATCCGAACCCGGGCTATAAACTTCACATTTTAACGGCCCTTTTGTACGTGAAAAGAATACACGTGTCACCCAGTGTGAAACTGGGGCACGCGTCAGCTTTGCTTCAGTCTAACGCGAGGTACCCATTAGAACGAGTTAACGTGAAAGTGTTAAGCGTGCCGGCGGGGGGTCGCGTGTCAAACCAGGATAATCTATTTTTGGGCCAAGTGCCAAAATTCATCGCTATAGGTTTTGTTCATAACGAAGCTTTCAGCGGATCATACGCGCGAAATCCTTTTAATTTTCATCATTACGACGTGGAATCTTTAAATCTCAGCGTGGACGGTGTGTCCTACCCGTCCACGCCTTTTCGACCCCTTCTTCCCAGACAGCGCTGCCTGCGAGAATACTTCAGCCTGGTCGAGGCTACGGACAGAGGGTTGAGGGACCAGCCTTTGGCCATCTCTCGTGAAGATTTTTCTCAGGGCTACTGTTTATTCGCGTTCAACTTGACCCCCGACGAAAGCTCGGGCGAACACGTTTCCTTAATACAGTCGGGGCACGTTAGACTGGACCTCCGGTTTCGAGCGCCTTTGCCCAACACCATAAACATCATCGTGTTTGCGGTTTTTGACAACGTGTTAGAAATTAATCACAAACGTGAAGTGCTTATGGACTATTTTTTAAAAAAAATGGACACCAGACAGATCGCTAAAGCCATGCGATGCACCCTCGGTTTCAGAGGCGTATTCGCCCTGCGATCAACTACCTCGGGTGTTAAAACACACACCTCCGTCCTGTTTTATTGTGAATACACATCCTCAATCACGACCTGGACAGCATTGGTTGGCTGTTTTAATACTGTCAGATGGAAATGCAGAGTTTTTTGATTCCTACGGGTTTCCGCCGGACTCTGAATTTTTCCCCAGTTACATCATGCTTTTTCTAAAAAATAATTCACGACGAGTTTTGTGTAACGCTAGACAAGTTCAAGACCATAGGTCGGACGCCTGCGGGCATCATTGCGTGTATTTTCTAAAACAGCGTATGAAGGGTCTTACGTTTTCTCAGGTTCTAAATTCTTATACCACCGATTTACGAGAAAATGATCGCTCTGTTAAAAAATTTGTAAAAAGTTTGCTGCGGATAGATTCTTACTGTCATATTGTACACGGAGTACAAAGTTGTGTTTACCGTTGTGATTTTATCAATAAATGATTACAAAATGATCTTTTAACGTCTGTGTGATTATATATTTCAATAAAATCGCTACGCTTTAAAAAATGTTTACTTTATTCAAACACACACACACAAGAAAAAACATATTAAAAGAGTTGAAAAATATGAGACTATGTTTTAATGAAAAAAACAAAAGCATAAAATGTACTTTGAATCAGATATAAATGATGTGGTTATTTAAACATACGAATGAAAGCATTTTGGTTTTAATAAAAATGTGAAAAGATTCAAACATACACATTACCCGTTGGTTTAAAAATGACACGATTATAAAAAGCATAAAATGTACTTTGATTCAGATATAAATGATGTGGTTATTTAAGCATACGAATGAAAACATTTCTTAATACGACATCCACCCCGGAGGTTCAAAGTGTGTTTTTCTATTTCTTTTTTTTTTAACCCGCGAGGGCGTACTCGCAGGCGTGCTAAACGTTAAAGAATTATCAACGGACCCTTTGATGTGTTTGTATTTTTCCATCTCTCGCCTTACAGAAGAATTACCCAAGGCCCCCGAAGGAACGTTGGCGTCCGCCAAGCTGCGAAGGAAACTGCTCCACCCGACGGGCTTGTAATTCAGCTTCTGATAAGAGGTTGCCGTTTTTAACAAATCAAATATATGACTCCCTTCCACGACATCCCCTCTGTACACGAATTCGCCGCGAGTCGTCCACGCGTTTTCCAGCGCGTCCATAATCAGTCGGGCTTTGTTTCTCGAACGAGCGGGCAAGTGTTCCAGAACCTTTGTGGAGAAGCCGTCAGGTGTTTTACTTTCTCGTTTTTCTCCTTCTTCTTCTTCTTTAGGTGGAGGTAAACTTAAAGTCAGTTCTTTTTTTTCCAAAGATTTTTGTTTGACCAGAGTCAGATATTTCCGCAAAAGTTGAGAATACAAATCCAGTTTGGTGTCCGCGGATAAATCCTTTCTCTCCAACAGGGATTTAATCTCCCGCTCCAGTTCATTCTCGCTGTTTTCCCTAATGTCTCCTTTAGAGGAGGAGGGGTGTGAGTTTTTGCAATTGGTCGGCAGAGACTAGGTACAGTTTTCGCGCGTGGTTCATTGCTGCCTGGGGGTTAGCATTTGTAACACAAAAGGCAGGGCCGCGGCTATTAACGGGCCGATAAACCCCCCCTTCTGAATGAGTTTACGCTTGCGCCCAAACGGATAACTTTTGTCAGCCAGATGTCTTAAACAGCGTCGCCTTTTCTTAAACTGTTTATACTGAGAGTCAGTCAGCGGGACGTTGCCTTTTAAAACGTTTAAAACGATTTCGCATATGGCCAAAATCACGTATTTGGGTAAATTTTTTTTGTCGGCTTTATTGTTTCTCTTGGCGTTTATCCAAGCGCTTAGAAAAGGGAGAGCTTTTCTTAAACGGGCTGACGTCATTTTTAAAAAAATCTATGTTTTAGGTACGTACACCACAGATTCTTGTCCGGGTAACAGCCCGCTCCGCAACCTAAATGTTTCTGGCGTTTCGGCTTTAAGATCCACAATTAAATAACCGAAAGGTTTACTCGTAGCGTCCTGGAACGATTCCAGGAAATATTTCGATTGTCCGGGATACATTTGTTTAGCCAAAATTGAAATGTGTAACTTGTCTCTAGGATTTTTAAAAAGTATCAGGTAGGAGGCGTTTAAACTAAGTGTGCGAGAATTCTTTCCTTTATAAAATAGATTCTGCGTCAAATATATCACGCTAAGATTATTGTGGTGAGAATATCTCGTGAAAGCCCTTTCTAATTCTACCGACTGACTCATAACGTCCATCATATCGTCCAGAACGATCAGAGGACCCCCTCTCCCTCCTCCTCCTCCTCCTCCTCCTCCTTCTCCTGATCGTCGTCCTTGTAGTTCATCGTCGTGCAGGCTGCTCGGTGCTCCTTGAACGAAAACCACGTCGGGCATAAGCTCCAGTAGTTCGTCGTAACTTTTTTGCCAGTTTTCATAAAACCACATGATTTTGCCAGGCTTCCCGTTGAGAGTTTTGGAAGAACATTCCAAAAGTCTTTGCACAAAGCACGTCTTCCCCGAACGGCTCGGTCCGGCCAAAATACATGTAAACGGCAACTTTAATCTGACGTCAAAATCCATAAGGCACCGTGGTAAAGTCGGGTCTCAGTATTCTCTTGTTATAAATTAATGAAAATTTTTTCAGAGCTCTGACGTTCTGCAGAGCCAAGCGTTTTTTGTTTCTTTGAATTAAAAGGGTCTCGGTCAGCAGAGTGTCGGATCGCCCCGTGCTAACGTGCTGCTCCACCAGCCGTTTAAAGGAATCAAAATGAAGAATTTTAGAAGTCTCCGGATTAACTGTAAACCCCTTGACCTTCAGAGAAACTTGCCCGCCGGCTGTGACGAAACAATAGCTTTTGGGTCCTGTAGACACAAATTCCTTGATATAATCTCCATCCGTTAGCTGATTCGACAGATCACCGAGATAAAACCCCGTGGGAGGAGTGTATTCCCCCGGTTTCGCCGTGAACATGACAGAATCCGTATCAAAATATAACACCCGCTTTTGTAATTTTTCTAGCACATCGTACAGTTTTAATCGTCCGTAAGCCGCCGTGAAAACGGCCACAAATACATTAGAAACCACGGGTTTTTGCAAATAATCCTTTTCGTACTGCCACTGGACCAAAGCAACGTCGTCGTTAATAAAAGTAAAATAAGAAATGCGTTTATGTTTGCAAAACATCAGTTCTAAAAAGTCACGAGGCTCCGTTATTAATTCCGTGTTCATCCGATCCGTTCTCTGTCCAAATTTCCCCCAGAGAGCGTTCAGAAACAGTTTGCTAATACTCCTCTGAGCGGGGTTAAATCCGATTTTTGACACATCCAGTTGGACACCTTCGTGTCGCTTAAACTTAAACAAATAGTCATTTTTCTCAGCGTCGGTGTTCACGCCCGGGGGGAAACCGCTGGCTTCCACTTTGTTTTTCAAATGTAAATCGATGTATCCTGCGAACAAATCGCAGGAGTTTTGCTCAAAGTGCCAAACCTCGTACACTTTCCCGATCGTGTAGCCGTGGTTTAAACTCCTTTTGATCTCCTCCGTGCAATAAACACCCGTTATGGCTCTCTCTTCTTCCGAATGTCGACACGCGTCCCCGGCCTCCTCCTTCGCGCAGGTTCTACGAAGGGTGAAAACTAATTTGTTTAGTTTATCACATCTAAAAGGCAACACGGGGTGGAAAAGATTTCTTGGGGGGTAGATTTTGACTCTGGCGATGCCAAAGTACTCTCTGATGTCTTTAAAATCGGTCACAATCACCGTCGGGTGTCCAATGGGGTAGGTCATACGCTTGTTGCAGTAAGGATATAAACTCGTAAAGTCCAAGTAATGGATTTTTTCGTCCGGGGCGGTTTTGTGCAGCAAACGGATGGCGTTGGTCCGTCCGCCGTACAGAGCGTCTCTCGGGTTCATTTTCTCCGGAAAATCACAGCTTTTCAAAAATGTCTTTAGCTCCCCGTTGTCCGCTTTCAGCTTAATCCACGTATGTTCCCACATGATCCTAACGTTATATCCCAAGGATTTCAGATATTCCAACCGTTCCGTGGTGCGTTGATAAAGTTCACCTTGTAACTCACCGGTCAGAGGGTTTTCGGCGTTAGGGTCCGAACATTTCGGACACCCGTGAAACACGCAGCCCAGAAATTCAAACACGGTGTTGGTCCGTTCGCAAAACCCGTCCACAAAAATAGATCCGACTTTCTTTTCCCCCATGTTCAGCGCGTGTTGGACAAAAACGTTCTCCTTGAACTTGACAAACTCTAACCACTGTATACTGCAATTTGAAAAACTTTTGTTTTTTTTCATAAAATAACGCGGCCCCGTTAAGGCCAGACCCCTATCCGGCAAAAAGTTTGTTCTGTACAGGCTTAGCGCGGCGCTGGCTATGGTGACGTGTTGAAACGGGTCCACGTTGGCCATGGACAGCACTCGTTCTCTGAATATCATGCAGGCTTTTGTTAAAATAACCACATCATTCTTACAATATTGGTACAGCTCCTTTTTTAAATTAAACAGACCGTTTTTTACAGAATCGTACAAGTTTATAAATTCAGTCCGCTCCGTAGGAGCCATTTGTGAATATCCGTACATATCAGGTTTCGGGTAACGTCCAACATAACACAAATTATCTTTTGTGTGAAAATAATGAGGAAAATAACCCTTTTTCTCATTTTCAAAACCAAAACTTTTGGGTAAATCAGCCAGTTTTGTTTGGAAGAAGCTCAGGCTGTCTATGTAACGTTGTTTGAAAAAAATATCGGTCATGCATAAGATTTTATTTCCTTGAGTAATGAGATGCGGTACTATTTTGTTCTTTGTTAGGTAATTTAGCATAAAATACGAATCGTAACCGCTGCTGTTGTGAGCGATAAATGTATACTTTTTGTATCTGTTTTTTCTAAAACGTTTAAAAAACTTTGCTATGCAGTCGTGACCCGTGGCGCACCAATGTCGACCTTCGTACGTGACGGTGTGTATATGTATCGCCGCGTGCTCGTTTTGTTCCGTAAAACGGGACTCTATGTCAAAAAATACATATTTCTGCGTTTGCGGCCTCGGCAAAGTGGGTCTGATAAAACATTGGTGTTTAGAGGGATCCTCTTTCTCGGCTAAAGGCGACTTGCAAATGTTACACGTGGTCCGGGGGCACTTGTGGTGTTTGGTCGTCACTATGTATGAGCGATTACAGTTTTCACACCATTTAACTTTCTCACAATAACCCATTCGTTTGTGGTGTGAAAAACAATCCTGTGACCTGCAGAATCTAAGACACTCCGCGCACCTCAAAACGTTCTCGGTTTTTAAACAAACCCTCTGACACACGTTACACATAAAATCGCAGCGGTGCGTGTATTTACTGTGCGAATACGGCTTGTGACAGGCTTTGCACACATGTTTAACACCGAGAAAACCTTTTAAATTTAAAATACCATAATAATGATTGTTTAGCAAAAGAAGGTAATAGGTCTTCTCGTGCGGCTGTTCATGCGTTTGGAAAGTCTGAAACGAACCACCGTTGTTTACTCTGTAAAGAATCACAATTTTGACGTTTAAAAACTGTTCGAATAAAGTCACGTCGTTAAATGAAACTAAATGTTCCGGTGAAATATTTAACCGATTTAAAAGTAATAGAGCTTCCTTTTGACATTCGCTTTGGGTCAAACCCGGTTTCATCACACCCGTCAAACTACACGCGAAGCAGGAATTTTGGTAAGCGTTTAAAAATATAACTAAATGCCTACTTTTTTTTGTAAGTATTTCCGATGACAAAATACTGTTTATCATTCTGGAATAACCTATTCCGCCTCGAAAGTTTCTCACTATCTGAACGTTCAGTGTGAGTGATTTGTCGCTTAACAGTTTTTTATTTGATTGAACAACCGATTCTACGTAATTCAGAAAATGTTCAGCGTTCAGCTCCTCTGCGTTAGTTTGAAATATCACGGGCGAGAACAGGCTTTCACCTTTCAAACTTATTTGTATAATGTCATCCCCTTGTGAAACCTGTCTGGCTTTTTGTAACAAACGATCTACTCGATTGTGTAGAGCCTGCGTGAACTGAATTAAATTCAAACCTGTACCTAGATCCGATAAATTTATTTGATAATTGTATTCACTGTGATTAAACATGGGTCTGTGTCTCTCCCTCACCCCATCCCCCTCCCCGCTTGTGGAGGGCCTGCTGATCGAAAGGTCTTCTGCGTGAATTTCAGGGTCTGCCGCCTGACACCTCCGTTCACACCCCGTCGAAGCGCTCCCATTTGCTCCATCGTTAACGTGTGACGCGTGTCCTTCGCTCTGCGGTGGTAACTCCCCCAAAGTCGATGCGTTGATATGCTGCATAAAAACATCCTGATTCGCTCCATCGTCAGCGTGTGAGGTAAAATCCGATAAATCCCATTCGTTCTGCGACGGTAATCCATCCTCAGCTTCGGTCAATATTCCTGTATCGTTTTGCTGAGCGACACTCAT